ATTTTGTGCGGTAAGGAGTCTAGTTACCCTGAGTTGGTTCCTTTAGCAAGCAGATGTCAAGCCATATCTGGACTTGACGCTGGCGAGAAGGTGTAGGCCGATTATGTGAATCAGGTAGTTTTGTTTGTGACATTTAATAATAAGGTCAAAACGTATTCTATGCCCTAGCAATTCAAAGACGACGGCTAAACGAGCACATCTTTCTACTTTACTGACTAATATTGAGCTGACACAAGTGAGTCTTCGTATCAGATATACCTAAAATTGCGTCGACAACTGTCTCTTGACAATTGAGCACTGGAGCTGCCTATTATTATCGACTTCTTCCACTGTAAATATGGTAAATCGCTCAGATTTGATCGTCCCGCGCTATCAACTAACAGATTCTGCGAATCACCGGTTGATGGTTAGATGAAAATCTCGTCTCCGAGGTGACTTGAGCAAGCTCCTCTACTTTCGCGTGTTTGTACAAGGTTAGGCTTGCTCAACTCTCTCGGTGAGCACACCTTTCTGACGAAACTACTAGCCCTTGATTTATGAAGATGATTTGCATCGGGGGATAGGTATAAGAAGAGTCTTTGCAGCAGCTCCCTTGTCTATTATCGGTGAACGATATAAAAGTTTTTATCATCTCTGGTCGACTAGCTTCGAGTAACCATGATTACCTGAAAAGGGAGTTGCCCCACCAGCTATTTCGAAGGTTTCCAATATTTTCCTGGGATAGCTAAGAATTTCTTATGAAAACTAGCGTAGTTGCATATTAAACGTAGAACCTGCCGCAAGCTTCTAACGTACAATACTATGGACGCACCGCGCTATCCATTTCATATCATTAACAAGAAATACTAATTTAAAAGAAATGATTTGTCTAGGCAGATCAACACACTCACACCCCACCTCTGATCTTCATTGCCCGCCTGACTACGTTCAAAACCAAAGCAGTGAGATTCACCTAACAAAAAGCTCGAAAGCTGAACAGGTCCCTGGACAACACTGTATTCTATTGTCCCTCTCTCTGTTTAATGACAGCTAATGCAATATTTTTAGCCTCCATTCTGGACCTCTTCAAACAACATGCTCTGGGAAAGGCTCATCTTTAAAGTCATGAATAACAACGAGACAGTTTCTCCCAATGCAATCCGTTTCACAAACTCTTTGAACTTGTAAATCTGTTCGAGCCTTGTCTATCTGCAGTCAAAAAACCCAGGCCATCGGCACACTCTCTATCCTGACCAAATAGGGTTGTGTCAAAACAACTCTTACACGATTTTCTTGAGAGCTCAGGGACGACAGACTCATTTCTGCGGGAAACCAAAACCCGATATACATTAGTGGCTCTTTGCCAAGAGTTCAAGTTTATCTTTCTAGCCAGCTTCACACAATCCACCGTAAGGTCTTTCGGACCACCAAGGAATTCTGGCCTAGCTCCTTGAAAACAAAGACTCAGTAGCTTTAAGAGTCGCCTATCGGTTAGCCACATTTCAATTTCTGACCGCGATAAGCGAACCTGGCATACCTCCAAATTCGGAACCAGCCATTGCTATCGACTCAAATGTTGAACTTACCCAACGTTGGAAGTTCGTGTTAGTCATTTTGGTATGGAGAATATCATCAGGTCACTTGCCAGTTGATTGTAACAGAGGTTGGTTGTGAAAGGTGGGCGAAGTAGCACATATCTGGGTCAACAATTGACGGAACAATAAGGTGACATAGGGCAGGTATACCCAAACAATTTTTAATGACAAACTGCCTTAGGTTATTTTATCTTAGAGGTAGAATATCCATCATCAGGTTTCCTCGCCCATGAACGCAGTTAGTTGGTTTCTTTGAATTTCGTTAGTTTCTTTCAAATAACTAATGAGAACTCTTTCCACTACTTAGGTTGGTCAATAAGTGCCCTTCAAACTTGAGCTTTTTCTCAGATCCACTCTTATTGGAATATATCTCACATGGAATAGCTGCCGCGCCAGCTGGTACCCCATTTTTACCATACAACATTCTCAGTCATGCGAACTAGTCGCAATTGATTCGGGAGAGCTAAGGACGGTGCTGCTTTCCGTTCCGCACTCATTCTTCAAACAAGAGGACTTAGGCTTCTTCGTTAGAGATTGGAATGCGCACCGGTTACCTTAGCGCATGCCCGTTAACACTCAATAATTAACCCCGGAATTATAAAAAATAAAAAAAACCCTTTTTTTAATTCCGGATATACCCACTTTCGTGCATCGACCTTGTGTTCTCGAAAACATCATCCTTGCAACGCTTCCAACTGAACAAAATGGGCTTGTGCCGAGGGTAGTTGGCTTAGAGACAGAATCGCTCGAGGGGTTTGCTTGCAAAGGTTGTGCAACAGTCATTCTGGGCTGTTACGATGAGCGTTCACTTTTTCGCGTATTCCGCAATAAATTTGTACAACTTAATGTGCGGTATCAGATAAACTCGGAATGGAGAGGGTACAAACAAGGCTTAATGGTCACTCCACCTTTTGCCCTTATTATTTTCCTCGAGTGGATCGCCTCAAGTTTTCGCGGAGATCCTGACGTAGATCAATGGAAGTATATATATGCGAATGTAATTAGAGCTCTCTGTGAGATCAATGGAAGTATATATATGCGAATGTAATTAGAGCTCTCTGGGCTGAATAAGAACTGGGCATTTTCTTGAATACCAATAGGTTTTTTTCCACTCTCTAGCCTGGATAGAAAAAAGAAGTCACTACCGCGATGAAGAACTTACTTTCATTGGTAAACAAGGAGGGCAAACCTAAGTCCTCCGAGATTGTACCAGATACAGAAGCCAACAATGGTGGCATGAACACAAGTATGATGGATGACGCTAAAAAAAGGAAAAGTGATATTGAGCTGTGTCATATGGAACATGCTCCCGGTTCAAATAGTCCTGAGGATGAAGATACTGAGGCTGCTGAGCTGTTGAATGCGACTCAGGATGCTAAAGAAGCAGACGACAACGAGAGAAAAATGCCCTTGATGCAGGCCCTAAAAACCTATCCAAAGGCTGCAGCATGGTCATTGCTCGTTTCAACTACGTTGATAATGGAAGGCTACGACACTGCAATTCTTGGCGCTTTCCTCGCGCTGCCTGTTTTTCAGGAAAGTTTGGTAGCCAAAACTCGACAGGAGACTGGGAAGTTTCGGCTTCGTGGCAAATTGGTTTGACCTTGTGTTGTATAGGGGGCGAGATTGTGGGATTACAGCTTACCGGACCACTGTGTAATTACATTGGTAATCGGTACACAATGATTTTCGCGCTGTTTAGTCTCGCTATGTTCACCTTCATTCTGTATTTCTGCAAGGATTTGGGAATGATCGCGGTGGGCCAGGCCTTGTGTGGTATGCCGTGGGGCTGTTTTCAGGGCTTGACAGTCACATATGCGTCAGAAATTTGTCCCTTGGCGCTCAGATACTACTTGACAACATATTCTAACCTCCGTTGGTTATTCGGTCAACTATTTGCAGCCGGCATCATGAAAAACTCTCAAAATATGTATGCACATTCCGAACTTGGTTATAAATTACCGTTTGCGCTGCAATGGTTGTGGCCTGCTCCTCTAATGGCTGGTATATACCTAGCGCCTGAGTCTCCTTGGTGGTTAGTTAGAAAGGGAAGAATGGATGAGGCAAGAAGATCGCTTAATAGGACGCTGAGTGGTAAGGGTATAGAAAAGGAGGTTATGGTGGCCAAAGAACTAGAGAAAATTCGGCTCACCATAGAAAAGGAAAAGACACTCAAATCTTATGAGGAAAGTTACCTGGACTGCATAAGGGATAAAACTAATAGGAGAAGAACTAGAATTGCTTGCCTTGCATGGGTAGGACAGCCAGCATGTGGCGTCGGTCTTATATCATACTCAACTTATTTCTACCAAAAACCTGGCGTCAGCACAGATATGTCTTTTACCTTCAGTATCATCCAGTACTGTCTGGGCATAGTTGCAACTTTTATCTCTTGGTGGCTTTCAAAACACGTAGGCAGATTTGATCTGTACGCAATCGGCTTGGGATTCCAGGGAATAGTGTACTTCATAATTGGAGGTCTAGGATGCATGGAGACAACAGAATCAAAAATGGCAAGTGGAGCACTTCTGATGGTTGTCGCATTTTTCTATAATTTGGGTATTGCCCCTGTGGTCTACTGTCTAGTGTCTGAAATTCCATCGTCCAGGTTGAGAACAAAGACCATTATTTTGGCTCGAAATTCTTACAATGTTGTCTTGATTGCCGCATATGTCTTGATATTATACCAGTTGAATTCCGACAAGTGGAACTGGGGTGCTAAAGCAGGTTTCTTCTGGGGCGGATTATGTTTTGCTACGCTTGCATGGGCTGTTATTGATCTACCAGAAACTTCTGGAAAGACTTTTAGTGAGATAAATGAACTATTCAAGCAGCATGTCCCGGCTCGAAAGTTCAAGGCAGCAAAGGTAGAGCCTTTTTCAATCAAAACCTCAAATGAGCTATTGGATGATGATATAACACCTTCGCTAGGGTTCTCTTCTAAATCTCAAGACGAAGGAGAATCGCCAAACAATGATCTTTAATGGTTTTTGTACGGTTCAGAGGCTACGGACGTGATTGTGTTAACATTTTTCTTATACAACCAAGGGCCCTTGGTAAATGATCTTCAAATCATCTGCCGACCAATAATATGCTCAATTATTATGAATACATATCTAAGAGGTTAAATTATGTCAAATAGAAATAAAACTACTTAACCGTTTTTCATTTTGATGCCAGTGTTGGTCTCTGGCATATAAGTGACATCATTATTTGAATCAGATTGGAAATATGCTTGTTTTCCTTCTACGAAATAAGTGTCATCCCATATTCCATTTATAATAGATACATTTAAAGTACGTAGTCATCTTTTAGATGGAGGAGGCATGGGTCAAAAAATAACCGAGAGCGTCCAAAAGCCCCTAGTAATCTGACCATTGTCAAAGATTTGACTCGAATATTGTGCAGGAACCAGCTCGTGTGTCTTTACCTCTCAACAAAACGAGCAGGTTCAGGCTTCTGGTAAACTGCTTGATATAAACTGTCGCCAGGCAACTCTATGGATCTATTTTTGATGCCGCTTAAATCAAGTAGTTCTGGCCGGAGATCTTTTATCGTTTTCGCACCCAATAGTCTCATCGAACATTCCACTTCCTCAGCTAACATATTAATGGCTTTTTCTACACCATCTTTCCCGTAGCAGCTATTGGCGTATAAAAAAGGGCCTTCCAATTCCTACGCCCTTGGCACCGAGGCACAAGGCTTTGAGAATGTCAGTTCCACGGCGTACACCCCCATCAATAAATACATCAAGCTTATCTTCTAGGCGTTTTTCTCTAAAAATGGGCATCGCTTCCGCCAGAACCTCCAAGGGCGCACGAGCAAAGTCCAATTGGCGTCCACCGTGATTTGATATTACAACCCCATCTCCTCCAATCTCCACTGCCTTTAGGATGTCTTCAACACATTGTACACCCTTGATGACAATGGGAAGATGAGTTTTTTCTTTCAAATCTGTGATATCTTCCCATGTCAAGCTTGGATCAATAAAACCAGCGAGGGCTTGAGATGCGCCACGGGCGGATCCACCTTTTGTGGACGTCGCATTTGGAGCCGCATTTTTTGAGGAAAATTTGATTTTCATGTCTTTCTCGCGCCGACCAGATGCTGGTGTATCCACTGTAACAAAAATAGCCTTTAAACCAAGAGATTCAGCTTCTTTGAGCAAATGTTCCGTGGCCGACCTGTTGGTGTTGACGTAAAGCTGAAGCCATTGTGTTTGCTCTTTTGAAGGAGCGGCCTCGACAATCTCTCGGAGAGAACAAGAAGCAAATGTGGAAATCATTTGAGCACACTTATACTCACCTTGACCACAGCCGCGAGCAATATCTTTCTCGCCTTCCTTGGGATTTCCAAGTTTGACTAAAGCTGTAGCACTCGCATAAAATGGAACGGACACCTTAGATCCTAGCATCTCGGTTGTCAGGTCAACTTCCGTGACATCTACTAGAACTCTGGGCTTGAAAAACACTCTGTGATAGATTGCGTGATTCTCCCGATGAGTAAAACTCATCATCCGCGGCAGACGAATAGTATGCCCACGCCATATTTGATAGAATTTGTGAAGCAAGGTTCTCGAAGTCGTAGAGGTTCATTAATGAGTCTAAATCTGGGAGTGCGTGGCGTAACTCTTCTTTTCTTTGAATGTCCGCTGGTGACTCGCCTGTAGCAGGTGGTGGACACACATGTTCGCTTGGCATTTGCCCTTCGAGTGGTCCTAAACGATCGGAATCTGGAATAAACTTCTCAATCACATCGGGAGCGTGCAAAGCGGAAAACAAAGCAGTTACATTTTTTCCAGCATTGGATTTGATAACAGCGGGGCCTCCAGGGTGCTGGTTGATGAAATTAGTTAAATCGTAGACAAAATCGTCTATCACTACCCAGCAATCGTCTTCTTTGTTATGCAGCACAACCTCGGAAGCACAGACAGAAGAGCATTTCAAATCGCGAACAAGGTCGTTTTTGATATAGCTTTTCTCTCTATTCGAACAGAGGGCATATGTTATGGCCGCGAAGGACGTCAACAGTGCGATATCACCTGACGGCCTTGTCACATGCCGAGCACCAACTAGCTTGGCACTGTTAGAAAACGCCCGCCACCTTCCACGGTCAAAGGCTCTTTTGAAAGCAGGGTGTACTATCGATTGCCTCAACATTGCTGATAAATTCACGAATGAGAAACCCCCATTATATCTCCCAGCGAAGATGGTGGATATAACCAAGCTTCTATGTATACTTTTTCCGACGGGAAGACCAGATCGCTACAAAAGCATTTTTCGGAAATTGCGCGACAATTCAGCTGCCGATAACGATATCTCATAACCAACTTTACAGCCGTCATCAAAGGTGCTTATGATGAGGTACGGCAATGACATGAAAAAATGATTTCTATACTCTGTATCGGCTCAGAACTTACATTAGAGAATGTGTATTCGATGTTAACACAACGGTCCTTACTTAAATGCTTCACGGACTACCTGCTTGTGCGTAGTAAGTCTACCCATCGGTCAAATTTTTCCATGAACTGGAACGGGACGATTGAACACCCATCTGCGAGCGTCATCTCGGCGCCTAGGCTACTGAAGAAGCTAATTCTCTATAGGAAAAGATCTCTTTTAAAGCTAGAGCCTTCAAAGAAAGTATCAGAGCGCAAATGAAATTAAAGCTCGTTATATTATATCCATAGTGTTGGGAATGATGTGAATAAACTGATGGTGATGTGCGTCTAATCGCATAATCAGCGTCAGTAAATATGTGACACAGTGGTACAGAATGATAGTACACAACCGAGGCCATACAAATAGAGCCACAAGCTAAGACAAACCGAAGAGAACAACTATTGTCCAATAGGATTGGCCATTGATAAGTTATCGGTAGTGTACGGCATTGAAGCCGTAATCCTTGGGCAATAGAATGATCTAGAATTGGTGATTAATAAATATGTTGACCAGAGTCACCGAGTGAGAATTGTATAAATACCAGGCTTTTGTTCAGGTAACTGAACCAACTCTAATGCCTAAAATAATCACGGAGAGATAAATAGAATTCCCTAGATCCAAGTTACTCATCTTATAATGACTATGTCCGACTTACAAGACAAATTTAGTAAGCTTTCTACTGATGAATCAGATTCGCCTCAATAATTCTACCTTGGATTTACTCAGTGAATATCATCAAATGCTTGTTGAGGATACTGCCATAACAAGACAGCTTTTATGACACTAACTGGAAAGTGTGAATGTATACTTGCCCAGCTATGTGAATTATATCGCGGATGTAATACCAGGTTTAGGCCAAGACCGGATATGGCAGCAACTGAATAGTGCGGCTCGAGGAGTAAAGTAGCTCCTGTGATACAAGTGGCTCAATGTGATCCATGTAAGTGGACGGGCTTGGGGCAGCTCCGTCAATACACCTAGGCCTCTGTGAGGATCATCAGGTGTCACCTCTAGAAAAATATGTGTTTGGAAAGTTCAACAAGAAAATGGAAATTTCGTCGCGGGTTGGAAGACCGTGATGCGATAAAAGTCCCCAAGGAAGAGATATATGATATATTACACTTTATGATAGTTCAGTATTGTAGCTCACTTTGGATGTAAAGTAACATTTAGTAAGATAGCTCAGCTATGGCTGGCTCAGTTTATGGCTTTCAGTGAAGAAGCTGATCCGTGTGTTCAACGTCAAGTTATGGAAGCTCATAGACCTCGAACACAAGGAAGAAGGTGGCCATTAGAATCACCGGCGCGACGATGGCGCAACTATGAATGACATTGCCGTAGATTTCGTAATCTGTTTCCCAGCCAAAGCAGATGGCGCTGATTTAATATAGTAATTGTTGACAAGTCTAAAAACGAACGCACTTTGTGGCTTGTAATAAACACTCTCTGAGGATACAGCAACTAGAGACTTGTTGTTAAGATATTTTTCCGCATATCATCGATTCCTAACTCGATAACCAGTGACAGAGATGCTCGATTCGTAAGTTCGGCATACCAAGAACTAGCTTTGAAATTAGTGAAACCGATAAGAATGTCATCAATTAATCCGTTGTATTCCGGTATTAAATCTGTTGTTAAAAATCTATATCAAAGAAACATTTTAAACAATGGATATTCTTACCACGTATCATTCAGTTTGCTTACGTTTCCATTCTAATACCGCAATGGAAACCAGCAGTGCAAGCATTAGAACTTCCAAAGATGTATACAGTACAGACTGATGAATTAGCAGTTTGATCAGAATCATCTAGGCCAAGATTTCAAGAACATCTGGAGCTGACTAACTTAACCATGGAGATAAGGACAACTCAAAGTCTAGCTTGGAATACTGAAGATTATGAAGTATGCATAAGGCACATACTCTCAAAACTAAATATAAAGCGAGAATACTCAAAGATCCAACCGACATATTTGGGTCCTTTTTACTTACTCAGGAGCATTGACGATATCGATTGCAAACTTTATCTATTATCGAAGCATCATCGTCAAGTAGCGATGCTCGGTTATTAATAAGATATTATCAATATCAGGATCTCCAGAGACACTCAACAATACAAGAGAATAATTCAAGAGCTCACAAAATGATATAATTTTAGGATTGGCGCTTGTAACAATATTTACTTAAAAAATGCGGACATAGATCCTCCCATCGTGGGCGTCTTTGAGTCACATTAAAAATGTGACTTTACCAAATATATACAGGGTTTGATTTATGAGACACTTTGTGAGAGATGTTAGAAACCTCCATTCGCTAAAAAAAAAAATGAGGGGAAAATCCTGTGTTGATATGATTCAAATTGTTGGAATTTCCTATTATAGGTAACTCTTGAGCAGGTAGCACTAACTGAAAAATAGTAGATCTACCTTCTGCTGGTTTATCTGAAGTAGAAAATATCAGAACCAGTTGACGTAGCCTACTCGTTTTACAGGAAGGGTGCATCATGAACAATTCGTCACACAAATATACAAAAAGTCAGCATGTATTATAAAAACAATTTTATGTCACTCAAAACTTCAATTCCCGCAGCAAAAGATTGTGTTGTAACAAGAGCATTAATTTTTCTGTCGATCTCACTTCATTGAGAAATGTAAACTCTCCCTTCCCATGGCTTCAAGGACCTTGATTGAGGATCAACAACGGTTTCCGAAAGGTTACCAAATGCTAGCTCATAAGATCCATCATCATTTGGGATTTCAAAATCAGCAGATTCTGAGCTAAAATTCAAAGCAGCAACCAGTTTTTTTCTTCCGTGACTTTTCTTGAAACTGAAAACTTGATTATTTTCCAAGTCAATAAACTCAAAGTCGTAACCATAGACAGCGATGTCTCTGTGAGCCTTTCTGAATTTTAGGGCCTTTTTCCAGAAATTGAGGACGGACTCTTCATCCTTTAGTTCGTCTTCTACGTTTATACCTTCCCGAAAAGATTCGTTTACAAAAAACCATGGTTTAGCTTCACTGGCAGAGAACCCTGCATTTGGTTCATCCTTGCTCCACTGCATAGGGGTCCTTGCATGATCCCTCGAGATTAGAGCAATTCCTTCCATAAAATTTTTCATCTGTATAGATTTTTCACCATGCTCATCTTTGATAACTTGGTAGTTATTTCTTACCTCAACATCTTCATATTTTTGAATGGGCCAATTCTTGAAGTTGATCTGGCCTAGCTCTTGACCTTGGTAAACGTACAAGGTCCCGCTCAATGACGTCAGCAGGACACTCAAAAGTTTTCCGGAAATAACACGATTCTTAGGTGAGTCATCTGCAAACCTGGTAATAGACCGAGGCTGATCATGGTTCTCGAGGTAGATTGTTGACCAACAGTCTGTCCCATTAACGAACCTGAATAATTCAGCTAAAGCAATTTTCCAGTCCTTGAGCTTGAAAGGCACTAGATCGTATCGAAATAAAGGAGAAGTGCCCACATCTGTGTGGGAGAAGTTAAAGAGTTCGTTGAGCTCATGTCTCGAAGAGCTGGTGTATAATTTTTTGACCTCGTCCGTCGCATGTTGCATTTCTCCAACAGTCAATAGTTCCCTTCCATCCTTCACCCTCTTTCTCATGAAATCATTCAACTCTTGGTGAAATTCATGGATGCGGGGGCCATTCAATGTCATTGGGTCGCTTGACTGCCAAGGAGAGTTTTTGTCGGTTACAGGAGCATCGGGTAGACCAACGACCTTCGAATACAAGCTTCCAACATCTATTCTAAAGCCATCGACGCCGTGATCAAGCCAAAAACCAACTGAGCTCTCGTAGATAGCTTTTCTGCATTCCTCACTTTCCCAGTTTAAATCTGGTTGAGTTGATGCAAATAGTCGTAAATAAAATTCTTCAGTTACCTCGTCGAATGTCCATGCAGATCCTCCAAAATAAGATTTCCAGTTGTTTGGAGGAATTGGTTTTCCATTATCATCATAGCCCTTAGGAGGCTTCCAGAAGAACCAATCGCGTTTTGGATTAGTCTTTGATGATCTACTTTCCTTGAACCATTCATGTTCACTGGAACAATGATTTATGACGAGATCGGTAATGAACTTCATTCCCAGCTCGTGGGTCTTTTTGATGACATTGAAGCAATCTTCATTGGTTCCGTACGTCGGCCATACTTTTTCGTAGTTTGCAATATCATAGCCCATATCATCTTGAGGGGAATCGTAAAATGGCGAGATCCAAATGGCATCCACCCCAAGTTCCTTGATGTATTCTAGTTTTGAGAAAATTCCCTTCATGTCTCCCCATCCATCATTGTCTGAGTCTTTAAAACTTGCAGGGTAAATTTGGTAGATCGTAGCCTCCTTCCACCATTTGGGGTCGGATTCAGGGTGAGAAGTATGGATCGTCATGTTGAGTGTACTGATACCTTCGTAATCTCGTTAAAATTTGTGGAACAACTCCTGTTTTAGTTACAAGGTCCTCTCACAAGTTCATCGACCACACATTTATATACTCTTCCCATCCTAAGATATTCCCATCTTGGTAATATCCGTCAAGTGGTGATGAAAACAAGGGAAATACATGAGTACCAAAAACCTCGAGCTTTTAAGGCTTCGTAAAAGGTACATGGGCTTCCAAGGTGCACTGGTTTCGGAGCCTGCATGAACTATTTAAAACTTTGTGCACCTTTCCACATATTGAAAACTGCGTGCGGAAGTTTTAAAGGAGGTGTGGCCCCACACTTTCTTTACTTTTGACACCAGCTTCCTCACTACTTTCCGTTCGTCCTAAGTCCGTGTGAACTCGATGTGCATTCGGACACCTGCCCTTGTTCCCCGCGATAATTTTTGTCGAAGTCATTATATTAATAATTATTTTTCATTTCTTCCGGCAACAAGCCTCTTGTGTTCGATAACATTTTTCTATTTAGTAAGATACTTTCGTGTCAATGCGGAGGGGGGCAGGTGCCGGGTATTGACTTCCGAAATACAAGTGTGAGTGAGGGCCATGGGCGAAGAAGCTAGGCGCATGACCAGAAACGACGATGGTCAATTGAGTACGGCTGTATAAGGGAAGTCGACGTCTCTTCTTGAGAACTGTAGAGTCCTTATGAAGTGGATCGGGAAGAGCTTTGGTGCTTTACACGAACAGAATCGCCTAAAGTCGTTCTTGGAAAACCATTGATCCAATGGATTGACTTCAAAACCCTAATGCTACAATAGATAAATGACCGGAGAAGTGCCATAGTATTATAGATTTTATCACCAGATCCACGGCAGCTTTTAAACGAAGTGTGCATCTGTATAAGATGTTGCAAGATGAGTCGTGATAATAATCATGTACCCAGGATAAGTAAAACCTGTGGAAGGTCTCTGTAGCCCTATGACTGATGAACACTACCGAATACATTATTTGCCCACTGTTTTCATAAGGCTTAAATGCTGCACCAAGACAGCACTTCTACTACCCGACACTGCATGATTGCTTTGTTTTACGTCAAGAGGATATTTCATGCTCACAGCTATGATTCCGGGATAAAATCAAGACCAAGTCATGCACCCTGTTTATATTTCGAAGTATCGGAAGCATGTTCTTAACTAGTTTCAACTACTCCGCGGTGTCCAGTCAATCGAGTGGCTGTTGCAGCACTAAGGATCTGAACCAAGTTGGGTGCTCAAGTGCCACTACTTTTCTGCATTGATAGCCTTCCATTCGAATATTTGAGGAGCTGATGACCATCGGTAGTGAGAGAACGGAGAGGTAAGTTTTTGACGCAAAACAACCGGGGTGTTCAAGGTACAAGAGCGGTCCTCTATTATACCTGATGATTTTAAAAGCACGTTTGTGGACGAAGAAGGCGGCCAGGGTGCCATGCTCTTGCGTTTCCTCAACTCACCCCCAGTTTAGTACTGAACGAGGGTAGCCAAAAGTCATGGGCACTTTCCCTACCTTACTTAAATTTGAAAAACCCTTTAATGACACCATTTAAATGGCAGCCAGTATTCACAATCGTGCTGTGACGAAAGTGCACTGAAGTCGAATATGGGATAAACTAAAATCGCTTGCCTTAAGGCAGACTATTAGTCGTGCAGACATCGATATCGACACCAGCTGCTTGTGGTAAATATTGTGACTTGATTTTTAGTCGGTCTAATAATATATCCTCATTGTACTTTCACACTATACATGTGTATCCTAGCACAGCTTTGTCCATCTAGCGGCTTAGACGATCTAAAGTGATAGAATTCAAAGGCCGTAAGTAGAAAAGAAAAAAGGCTCGGTAACAATCTGTCTGTGACTACTATGACATAGGTTAGCAATGATTAATTAAACATTTCACAGGTGGTGGCGAGGCAAAGCTGCATTTCTTGTCCCTAACTCAACATCTGCGACTGAAACTATGAAAGCATGTTATAACCACCGAGTGGTAGTAATCTAGTACTGTTTGAAGGGTCTCGAATTGCACAATGGTAATCACTATTTCAGCACTAGTATGGTACGACGTGATAATTGGGACGTAAGTAACAAAAGAATGTACGAAGCGCATAATCAACCATTGGGATTCAGAGGAGCAGCGACCCGACAAAATGTTCTGTTCAGTGAATTTGATTATTCAGCAGCACAGCGATACATATGCTGGGTGCAGTGGTTGGATTATCAAGTCTTAATTGCACCCAGACTTTTCCCGTCAGAATTATGTATAAATATCGGCTATACGTCCCCAATATGAACCAGATTTATAGCCGAAATAATTACGGAGAGTAACCAGAAGTCGCTTTACAAGCTTCAGATTTAGATCAAGTACTCAGAATAAAATGCCCGATGTCTCTTAACAGGTTGAACGAACAATTCAGCAAGTTATCTACTGCCGAGGCCCGCTCGATGCAATTCACCCAAAATGCCGAACAATAACTTGAACGCACAGTTGGTGGCTGGGTGGCTAGTTTACATCAACGCCCCCTAAAATTCGTAAATCTCAAAGCCTATAGGACATAGGGGTGAAAAAGGTAAATAAGTCACCAAAAAGACCACTCATAGGATCTCGAAGTTGAGCATACTTTCTACTGATGCAATGATAGCCTCTTCGTTAGTTGCAATTGGCTCCCAATCTAAAATCGTTTTCGCCTTTTCATTGCTAGCATTACGGCTGGTCTTGAGCATCGACGCCAAAGTCTTTAATTGTTGGTTGAATAGGCCTCCAAAATAAGCAACCCAATTTGGCAATATCATGTTTGAGATGTTGTATCTCTCAGCCTCTGGTCTGGCTCTAAGAAAGTTGGCGATTTCCGGTAAAGATATTTCACCACCTGCCAGTGCTAGGAACCGCTGGCCTTTGGCTTTAGGGCTTGTCATAGCGCGAATGTGCAAGTCTGCAACATCCCGAACGTCAATGACGTTCATACTCAGCTGAGGAATTGCTCTCATTGACCCATCTAAGATCTTCTTCAATAGCTCAAAACCAACTGACATGTCTTTACATAGTGCTGGCCCATAAATTGCTGTTGGGTTGATTGTTACCAATTCAAGACCTTTACCATGAGAATTGACAAAATCCCAAGCTGCCCTTTCTGCCAAAACTTTTGATTTGTTGTAGGCTGTTAAGTGTTTCTCATTTGGATCTGTCCACTCTTTTTCAGTTATTGGTGTATGGGGATCTTTGTGGCTGTAACCAACTGCACCGAAATTGGATGTCATTACCACGCGTCTTACCCCACCATCTCGCGCAGCTTTAAGTACTCTCAAAGTACCATCGACGGCTGGTCGAATCATTTCATTTTCGTCCTTAGGGATGGTGAATAAGATGGGAGAGGCAACATGTAAGACATACTCGCAATCTTTTACCGCGTCGTGCCAGTTGGCATCTTCGGTCAAGTCTGCTTCGCAAAAACTAATTCTATCAAATGAGGTGATTCCGCCATTTTTCAACATATCAAGAACCTTTTCTTTTTTGGATAAAGAGCGAATAGTTGTTCTCACACTGTACCCTTTCTCTAGTAGTTTAACAATACAATGGCCGCCCACAAAGCCGGACCCTCCCGTCACTAAAACTGTTTCAATACCGCTCATCGCGCCCGTAGTTAGGTAAGCTATCTCGCAGTCCTATCTCGCAGTGCTTTTCACTCAGCCAATGGCTCCCCTGAGACTAGAAATGAGAACCCGCTCCAAACTTTAACAGCCAGCTATGTGCTAACAACTTGTTTTTTAGAGCAGACCCGTGAAAAGTCGTTGAATATATACGAGCGCTGTTCTATCCTGCAGGAAGCTTTGTCGATACCTCTCTCTTGGACTAGATGTTCATCGAATCATTATCTACATCTATAAGCGTCACCCATCGTCTAGGTCCGCGGTGTGGCCCCCCGTACCGCGGAACAAAAAAATGAGGTGTGAGGAACTTTCTGTTCGTAGTGATTCCGCGGAAGCAGCGCCGGATGCTTCAATAATTTTTTCATCAAATGGTAGATGCAGCTGAACTGTTCGCTGCGTCCATGACAAAAAATAACACAGGTGTTAAAAGTGTGCGCAACGAAGAGAATTTGATTGATCAGCATATGGAATTGCTGAGTGCATGACCGAAGTGAATTATCCGCTGGTTTATAATTCTGTCATCACTGGAATACACGACACAAATACGTGGGTGACTTGCATTTTATCCAATTGCCCTATGAATTGTTCTTAATAAGGGTGTAGGCCGCATTTTACTATTGAATAGATTTGATTATTCTCATGAAGTTGGATATCTACCAAACAAGGCTTTCGCGAATAATCAGCTAATCGAGTTAAAAAGCTGTGAAACCTTGGGTGGCAGTGTTCACTGTCTGGCACCTCGTGAAGACTGCCTACGTGTCCCCTTTAACCGGTCAAGTGGATACTTTTGATGGTCAAAAAAAAAGGACACGTTCAGCTAATGGTTTATGTATTCACTTGCGATTAAATTGGACGAGGTAGCCATAGGCACTAACATTTCGCAAGTTCAGCGTCTTCAACTTAAATGAGGTTCACTGACAAGAGAAGTTTGGCCGAATGGTCATGCAATCCCATATTAACCATGATTGAAAGCCATCGTACACAGCTAATTTGAACTATCTTCGCAAATTATCGCCTTGTTGAATAAAAGCGAGTTGTGTCATTGACGTGATATGTATGGAGGGGTATTTGGGAAGCAGCTCTTGAAGAAGACTAGATTCTATCCCCTGATCTGAGGTATGACACAATGAAATAATAATTTTGACATTTTTTGTGCCTGTGCCATCTCTATTCATTAAGCAAACTGGCGTTGTAGTGAGCGGATTTCCAGTCCCAGAAGAAAGTAAGTTCGGTGTTGTTGCTAACGCTGGATGTATTGCATGCCTCCAAGAAATTTTGGCCGGCTAACCGTTCGCCAGCATACTTATAGAAGTTCTCTGCTTTGCAGGAGAAACCAGGCCCCTCAGAACATGATTCTAATGGAATCACTGCATCGTTTACAACGTACCTGACGTAGGATTCATTGTCGCATTGAAACTTTTGAGTATAAACTCTCGCACCTTGAGGTATTATCCAGGATTTGTGAAAAACATGGTTCCTGAAAGGAACATAGGTAGCGTTTAATTTGTGACCATCATCAAAAAGGCCTACCGTAGTCAAGTAATTTAAAATGTCAGTGTCATGTGTGAAACTCAACCATACCTTCTGGTCTAGTCTATCGCTTTCTTTGAGTAGTTTGAGAGAAGCGTTGAAGTAATTTGCCCCTACAGCCTGAATCATGGAATAACCAGGACCATCTTGGTAATAGGATGACAGATCATCATTATATGAATAATGAATTAATTCTTCCATAGTAAAAACGTCACACATGTCACTGTATCCCTGAGCGTTGAGTTCGTAAGCGCACCATGAAAACAGATTGTTGGCGTCAGATTCAGTTAGATTTAACCCACGGTTCTCATTATTCAGTCGTTCGGCGATGTCTGTCAAATACTTGGTTGAGTAATTGCCGATTATTTCAGTATATGCATCAGGGTCCCACGCAGGACAAGCATAACCGGCTGAAAGAGTATTTGCACCAGCGCTGGGGTCTTCACTGACCACTTGCAACGATACCTGGAATTTGTCTCCGAGGCTTTCGATGAAAAACTCAGCCGTGTCGTGAACTCTTTCGGAACTGGATGCAAACACAGCAAACTCCCGGTTGCCCTCTAGAAAGCCTTCGTATAGAGCCAAAAATTGTTGTGCATGTCTCTTTGCATCCATTTCCCCTGAATAAGGATTAAGAGCATTGACCGAATTTTTGAGAGAGGTTTCCATCTCCAGGTTTTCATTTTCACGAACGAAGAACTCGTAATCATCGTTGATGAAAGATAATGATCCGTTGAAACTATGGGGGTATTCTTTCAATTTGTTCCATGTTTTCATCAATTTCTTGCCACTGCTTTTAGTAGGATATCTCTCGCCATGCCTGGCAAGCAATTGAATTTGTTGAAGTTCACAATGGCTTGGTGGCCCTATTGGAATTCCATAGCTGCCAGGGTATGAAAAATATGGAGCGGCACCCCCTAGAAATGGAAACAGATGTTCTTGTGTTCCAATTTTAGACAAGGCGGTTCCCTTTCTTGGCGGAATAGCAAAGGCGTGGGTTGAACAGAGCCCACCCAACGTTAATAAGACAGATCTATCGAGCAACATTGGTGCCCTCTCTAAAACGAATTAACAGCCGGACTATCTTACATTTTTCTTGTACTCCTTATATAAGCTGGTGAACACCGTCAGCTACCTATTTGACTACTAAAGACAAACAAAATTTTCTTGTCTGTTTGTTTGTGCACAATGTGGACTTGATACATTCAAGTTCTATCGGTTGCCGCCCAGTTTACAGTTTCCTCTTGAAAAAAATCTCCTGAAAAAAGTAATAGACTCATCATCCGAACTCGATACACTCAATTTGACGAAAAGGGACATCCCAAAGCATAGTGGAAGTATGTCCTAAAGAGTGCCATGCATTTTTAATTCCTTCTTCGTTTACTACAGTATACAACTGAAACTATGAAAATCGGGATCATGGCATGCTGATCGACTGTCTGTAAGCATTCGATCACTTTCGCAAAATATCTGTCTTTTAAAATCTGGCAGTAAAAAGAAGCTATTTTCATTTCAACTGAGCCTATATAGGATAATTGTTGAGCATTTGGGTGCTCTTTCGTTATACCACATACACATAGAGAGTATGTTAAATTTGCTATGAGGTGACGCACAGTTTAAAAACGTTCAAAATAAAGCACTCTAATAGTACAAGTCAATTTTAGGCTACTCCCTGACCTCTAAGGAACTCTTAAGTATGCGAAATCGTTCCTCCAAATATATTATGACAGACAATCATCGAACTCGGAAGAATATGAAAAGTGGGGCCGGAAAAATCTCGGTTCGAAAGATCGGCAAACTTTTACTTGATATTTGGTAATTCGTCAGAGCTATCTCTCACGCTCCAAGTTCCAATATTACTGATACCATGGCTTGAATTATGCTGTTTATTGTGAATGCGGTAAGCGAAATGATTTAACACACTCTTACTGCTTGAATGCATGCTAAAGGTTCACGTAGTGTTTTAAACAACACAAGGAACCAAAAAATTGTCAATACGGGACGCCATAATTATTTTAAATAATATACATATCATAAACCCGTTATATTTTAATCTATCCGCACTCTGAAAAACTAGCAATCATCATAGGAGGTTCCTCGGGATAGTGCAAATGGGCACTTCTTAATGAAGCTCATTTTTATCGAGACTTCGTTCAAATGAAAAGGATGTAGGCGTCAAATCAAACTCCAAAAAACTCATTTGGTGAAGTTTCCCAGTTTGCTTTTAGTATTGAGTAAGAAATTAATGTGATCAGGTCAGTCAAAGTTACAGTTTGTAAAACAAATATTAATTCCTGTATGCCGGAACAAGTGGGATGTAAAACTGGGATCTCTACACATTATAGGTGGCAACTAAGTTTAGCTCATTTGTCTCTCAACATCATCGTAAGAGCTTAAATAAATTTCAAGCATGAACACTAGTGCTGTGAATCATTGACGTTTCCGACAGCTAGGCCCAAAGATGAGAAAGTAATGTCAGTTGGCTTAGTGACGTACATTTTATAGCTCTACCAATTGTATGTCTACTTTTATTGTGAAACTCCTCTATTATTGTTACCATGTGTTTTAGTTACTAGCTAGCATGAAAAGCAAGTTAAATCCTGGGTTGCTCTTGGAATCGTAGGACTTCGAAACGCAGGGAAAAACCTCTAAAATAGCCCTCACCTGCTCCGATAGACATGCAACTCTTTGGATTCCAGTGCACTTCTTGCCACGGCATGTGAGCAGTCAAAATTACTTTGCGAACTCACTTCTAGCCAGCTAGCTGCACGCTTATCTGGACCGTTTCAAATATTTGCTGTATAACTTAGTTAGTTAGTCTATGTAGTACAGTCTTCCTTCCCATGGTCTCAAGGTATTTGAGGCTTGCTCGATGTTACCATAGTTTCCTAAGAGAAGCGTTAGAGAAGAGCTATTCTGTGGACTGCTAAACTCGATCTCATCATCACTAAAGTTCAAAGCAGCAAATAACCTTTTATCCTCGAATCGCTTTGTAAAGCTAAAGAGCTTCTCGTCTTCCAATTTAATGAACTCAAAGTCGTATCCATAAACCATGACATTTTTGTGTTGTTTCCTCGTTGCCAAAGCCTTTCTCCAAAAGTTCAAAACAGAATCAGGATCACTTTCCTCAGATGCAACATTGATGCCTTGTTCAAACGATTCATTCAGGGAAAACCATGGATTAGCCTTTGACGAACAGAAATCAGCGTTGGGCCCTTCCGATGACCAAGGCATGGGGTTCCGAGAGTGATCCCGTGACAACATAGCAATTCCGTTCAAAAATGATTGTAGTTCTGTTGACGATTCGCCATATCTTGCCTTGATTATCTCGTAGTTATTCCTGACATCGATGTCCTCAAACTTCTCAATAGGCCAGTCCTTCACATTAATCTGGCCCAATTCTTGACCTTGATAAACATACAAAGTTCCTGTAAGCGAAGTCTCCAACAATGCCAAGAGTTTGCCTGACAAGTTCCGATACTTGGGAGAGTCGCTACCAAATCTCGTGATAGAGCGGGGTTGATCATGATTTTCAAGGTAAATGGTGGACCAAGTGTCGGTACCATTGACAAACAAAAAGCTAGCCGCAATTGCCTCCTTAAATTCTTTCAAAGTGAAGGGCACTGCATCATAGCGGAAGTGAGGGCTAGATCCAATGTCGACATGGTTAAAGGCAAAAACCTCGCTCATTTCGCCCCTGGCCGCGCTCGTATACAGGGCATTGTCGTTCCCATGAGCCACCTCGCCTACCGTCATAATCTCTCTGCCGTCTTTCACCCTATTGTCGATAAACTTGCGTAGCTCTTGGTGAAATTCATGGATCCTAGCACCGTTGTGTGAACCCCAGTTAGCGTGCTGGAATTCTTCCTTACTGTTGAAAATTGGAGAGTCTGGTAGGCCCGGCCGCTTTGAATACAGGCCGGCGGTGTCGATCCGAAACCCGTCAACTCCGTGATCTAGCCAGAAACCAACTGCGCTTTCATAGATAGCCATTCTGCACTCGTCATTGTCCCAGTTTAGATCTGGTTGACGGGAGGCGAACAAACGCAAGAAAAATTCACCGTTCTCCTCGTCAAAGGTCCAGGCAGAGCCACCAAAAAATGATCTCCAATTGTTAGGTGGAATGGGGCGGCCTTCGCTGTCATATCCTTTTGGCGGACGCCAGAAGAACCAATCGCGCTTTGGACTAGTCTTCGAGGATCTACTTTCCTTGAACCATTCATGTTCAGTAGAACAGTGGTTTATGACGAGATCGGTAATGAACTTCATTCCAAGCTCGTGTGCTTTCTCTATCAATTCAAAGCAGTCCTCATTGGTACCATACGTGGGCCACACTTTTTCGTAATCTGAAATGTCATATCCCATATCTTGTTGAGGAGAGTCGTAGAATGGACATACCCAGATAGCGTCAACACCGATACTCTTCAAGTACTTCAACTTAGAAGTAATACCCTTCAAGTCTCCCCACCCGTCATCGTTGGTGTCTTTAAAGCTTGCTGGGTAGATTTGATAAATGGTCGCTTCTTTCCACCACTTAGGCTGTGTTTCTGGATGCTCGATTAAAGTCATACCGTTCGATTGATTCAATATATTGAGCGTGGAATGAAAACTTTTGATTGCAATGATGGGAATGAGGAACCATTCACTCACATTTTATAGTCAATATTCAGACATATATTCAACACTTGACAGTTATGGTCGGAACGGTTCCAATCCGGTTTGTTCCGCTGAACCATTGTAGTGATCTCGCACTTATCACGCCAATGATATGAACAAGGGAACCAACAACTGTTCGCTTATACCTCGAGCTTCTTCCTGCACGCCCTAATTGTTTCCCCCCGCAATTAATAAAGGTATTTTTTTTCGTTTGCTTGGCTCGTGTCTGTGCATATAATTTGTTCCCTGTGTCTTCGGAAAATGCATCACGCTATGACAAGCTTCGAGAGCTTGGCTTGTCCATAGTATAACTTTCTGCTTAGTACAACTAAATGCTTGAGAAATTCTTTTATTCATGTCTAGTGGCAGCCCACAATTCGGCTGTTAGGTTACATTCTTACACTACACCTAAAAAGACGTCATTCAAGGACTGTCAATCCGACATTCGTAGCCACCAGGAGTTTAGCATTGGGGTGAAGTGACTCAAATTCCACATAATCTGACGTATCTACTGATCTTCTGGACTTCAATGTTATCGTTGTTCCGTAATTGTTGTCGGAGCTTGACAAATTATCTACTTCCAACAACGTTAGCGCTTTTGGCCTTGATTAGACGAAAGAACTCGATATGGTGAACCATCAAATGCTACGATTGAAAGCATTTTACGGTCATAAAGCATAAGGAAGTTTCTAAAAGTTGCCGTTACTGGTAAGCAACCAATTTTGCTTGACAATGTACTTGAAGAGGAAATTAAAAATGCTGGGCTGGTCTTCACAACCGCGAGTGAGAGTGAAGTGGGAAGACGCGACTTTGAACTGGGCACTTTGAGCCCGACCCTGGCTCGTACAGCCTCAACGATGATGATTGTGCTGTTTCGCAGCTTGCAGGAACAGCTCGAAGAGCTAAAGAAGCAGATTATCACGAGAGAATGTTGCTCGTGATGGCCGCGTCAGACACTAGACTTGAAGTGACATCGTCCACATTGCAATTCAAAATCGTGTAAGTTCTGAAAGGTCACGACAGGAGTGTCTTTGTAACTCTTTTGTTTTATCTAAGAAGGCTTAGGCTTAGAGTTCACTCGGGACAATAGTGGTCTGTTAAAGTTTCTGCTGCCTTGTTAATTACCAGTTAACATCCCTTTTTGAAATGAATTTAAGTGTGAGCCTATGAAATGATCCTCTCTTACTTTCGTTTTCTTCACATTTCTTTATTTATAAACGTAGAGAGTGGTTACACTGATTCGTTTTTATGTGACATGTCATGAAAGTGTCCAGAACGTGTCTTCAGCTGTCTTTCGATACTCTAGAAAAATCATAGAAACACTCAATCATCTATTATAATACATTTGCTCAATTAGAAATTGGTAATAGACAACTTCTTTTGCTGCACCGGAGTTTATATGTCCCTTACCTCCGACGCAGGAATCCTACAGTGGTTCAATAGGCTCATGGCTTATTTAGCATCCAGCTGTAAACAAACCCTCGGACCAGTCAAAATGAAGGAACCCCACTGGATGCTTCAAAGACTTCCTAAAACTTCAAAGCTAAACTGAAGAAAAATTGGATCTCACTTTGGCCGCTTTCACGACAGCGTTGTCTGACGCTCAACCTGGTTTAAACCCAAAATTCGGTGCAGCACTTTCATTTTTTTCTGGTAATGTCTTGGCGCGCGATGTGCAAAGAGGAGAAATGGTCAGAAAATAAAACTGGAGAAAACTCCCCCAATTTTCAGAAGTAGTGGCAAGTCATGAAAATATTCAACCTTGACCTGATGTTTACATCGCAGATACCACTCCTCATACTATGATCCTATCAAATATGGTGAGAAGAGACAGCTTTTCGGCTGAATCTATTCTGTTGGCAAAACAGCTTAAGGAAATTATATAATCAAGCGATACCAAGTGGAGTTTCTTTTTTGTTCATGATGCTGGAGCGGACTGGTGTCAGTAGTACTCTACTTGTCAAACCGTTGGTTCGATAATTTCATGGACATTGTGGTCTTTACTCTGAGCATTAGAGTAGATCTTCAAGCTATAAAGCGATCTCGACTTGTCTCTGTACCTATATGGACCACAATTTTAGCTCGTAATTGGGACATAGAGTCGGTATTTTTATAAATCCCAGCTAAAGTAATCTGGGGTACTTAGAAGAAGAAAGTCCAACGATTCCACCCAAAAAAAATAGACCTTTGGGCTTTGAATTGACTTAGTCGTCTGTCCAGTACAGTTATATGCAAACGGTGCTCCTTCGGTTCGCATTGATTGACTATACATCTTGTACATTTCGCAACTACGGATGTACTCCGTATCACTTCTCACTATTCTGACATTATCTTGATGTTCATTATTATGCAACCTGAAGCCCTAAAAACAGTCCTGGATTACCACCGTCGGTAATTCTCACTTAAAAAAATAGGATGTACACCCTGAGACCGTACGGACGATTATTACGGTCGCCCTCTTCAGTTGTAATTTTCTGATCTCGTATATCAACAACACTTAATATACTCGATATAAAGTCGCCAGCAGGCGGCAGAGGGTCGGCCGATTGCATCACTGGATGAGCCTGATTGCCCTCACTGGGTGTGACGAACCTGGCACTTGATATCACTTAAAAAGTTACTTGCTGCTGTTTTCCAAGGAGTCTCCTTGACTTAATTCTAGAGGCGAGAACGGCAAGTGAAATGACATGGCTCTCATTAACCAATTGATTTACTAAAACATAGTCAAAAACCAAATTAGTCATTTCAACATATATTATTCAATCTCAAAGGCTTAAAATGGGATCCAGCGGATGGACATAATTCATGTTTTTACAATGAGCTGCCAGCAAATAAACAAAGAATGTGAAGTTTTGTTATCAAAAGTCAAAAAAGCTGATAATTCATTAAAAGGCTGGACCCAAAAGTCATTTAAAACTTGGTAACAAAGTAATAATAATACACTTAATTCTAATATACAAAAAGACCATACTTTTTATCATTTACAGAAGAGCCCATGGAAGAGCGAAAATCAAACCAAAGTTTAATTTATTAGCGCGACCTTCATAAGTTAAAATTGAGGGTTCAGCAGCTTGGGAGAAATAGCTAACCAAGCTACCTGTAAATTTGCCTGATGATTCCAGTGAATCGGTGGCTTGTGGGCCACTGACATTGTTTGGTGTGAATATGCTGGATTGGGCACCGGCGTCATTCTTGTTAGGTGAAGCATTTGAATCAACTTCATTGACAAGACCTGTGCTAGACACAGGGGAGTTACTTAAACCAGTGACTTCATTGTGGATTCGAGTGTCAGTTGGCCCGAGGATCGTTGTAGCAGACGCAGTACTAATTCCTGAACTTTGTCTTGAAACACTGGAGGTTTTGAAAGTTGCAGAGTCTTGAGCATTTTCTGTATTGGAAATTGAAGACGAAATTTGCGCAGTATGCGCACTATCTTCCGTCCGCTGCATGGGCATGCCGGCCGAAGTGGTCGTTTCCGTATTTTTGAGCCCCTGTTGATCGTTTCGAGAAGCTGAAGGCTTCTCTTGCTTAGTTGCTGCAACTGTTAATGTAGATATCACAGTACTCTTGCTGGAAATACTAACGTCAACTTGGGCCAAACTGGACCCTTGACCATCTGTTGAGTGATCATAGGATGAGGGTTTACCTGATGAGGATTTAGTTGAAGTCAAAAGAAGAGAGGCATCGGTGTCTGTTGTCCTACCGTTGGGGCCGACCGAGGAAGCAGTAGATACTGGAGCGGAAGTTAATGTTCCGCTGCGTTCTTTCGTTCCACGTTTCGCGTCAGATTTTGTCACGATATTATCTGCACTGTTTTTGGCAGAAGGCGATCGTGTATATGAGACTGAGGTTGTATGCATCACGTTGGGCCCACTAGAAGGTGTCGCTTCTTCACTGTAAAAGATTTTTGACCAAGTCGTAAAAGTTCCGCTGCTGGCATAAACGCTGGATACTGCGTCGCTGACACTATGAAAAGCAGCCGTACTTCCATAAAAGCTAGAGTAAAACGATGTAATTGAAGGCCCTAGGGTACCGGTTTTGCTGTTTTGGGTTAGTATAGAGGTAATATCTGACACAAAGCTTTTTTCGATGCTTGTAGATGAGAAGCCTGACGTCGAAGAATACTTGGCGCTCACGGGCAACACGCTTGAAGCATATTCTCCGATCGAACCAGTATCCCTGCTTTGAAACCCGCTACTTGAGGAAGAGCTTGGTTTGTAATTGTTATCAGACTTTGATAATCCACCAGCTGTATTATAATAGCTGGAAGAGATCGAAGTAATTGGGACATTACTTTTCATACCCGTTGACTTAGAAGTACTCGTAATACCTGCCAAAAAAATGGAAGACGAGCTGCTACCAGGTAGGGTACTGTAACCTGAGGGTAGACTGTACATGGATTCAGAAGACTCGGTGGCTAAATTTTGAGAAGAGAATATGCTGTCACCCGACCTGACTGGCCGTGAATTTGTAGCACTGATGGGGAGACTTGATGAGGAATTGCTATAGTAGACAAAGCTGCCACTAGAAGGCAAGCTACTGGGCTTGTAAATGTACGTGGAGTACGTTTGGGCATTTCTTCCACTAGAGAGGGTATTACTGATAGATGCCGCAGTGGAAAGACTCTTGTCAGTCTCGAAACTCAAACTCGAAAACGCAGAGCCAGTAGTTAGTATATTAGCAGATTTAGATCCTAAAAGGGGCGTAAGGATGTAGTATTCATTCTGCTCTGTATATTTGCCATCAGATCCTGTAAACAAACTTGAGGAGGTGGATGTGATTGTGACAGAGCCGGTCCATCCTAGAGTTCCCGCGGTTATTGCAGGGGCAAGTACAGTGTCCTCAGATGATGAGGAAACAGACTCGGAAGGTACGCTTTGGGTGGCATTCCCTGCGATTGACCCGCCATTGGTTACGGAGAGGGTACTTGGCGGAGTTGACATGGATATATCTGTATTATACCAATCTTGTGTACTTGCTGTGGGCTCGGAAAGTGCGATTGTCGCTGTCGATAATAGGCTTTGGGAGGACAATAGACAGTTTGAGTTACAGGAAGCCTCTGACAACTGTTCGCTTGAATCAATGCTTCGGGATAGGGATTGACTAGAAGAAGGTGTGTTGAGGCTAGCTGTCAACGTATCACTTTCCGAAGAAGTTTCGAAAGACCCGCTTAAAGAAAGCGAAGAAGGTACGATTGGAGTCAAAATGTAAAATATAGCTTCTTCCGTAATCTTACCATCTGCCCCCCTTGTGGAAGTTGTTAGTGTTGAATACGTCGTGGTTACTGTGCCAGTCCATGCACTTGCCACGATTATAATAGGTGAGGTAGCCTCGGAGGAACCGAGGTGCTCACTGGAGATTACACTCCTCGACGATTCCTCGGTAAAATTACCACCAGATGGTACTTCACTTAGAGTCGAAATTTTAGAGGACAAGGGAGTTGCTGTCGACCTGGAGGAAGACAGCACGATTGAGGAGTAACTGTCAGGTTGAGTTTGACCAGGTATAGAATGATCCAACGACAGCTGACTGGTAGCGGTGGATTCGAAATGTGAGCTGCTTGGCGATCTGCTACCGGAAGGCAAAGAAGCAGGGGTTGGGGTCAAGACATAGTAGACAGCTTGTTCCGTAAGCTTGCCATCCGAACCTTTAAATACCATGTTCTCGGTAGAGTATGTCGATATGAAAGTGCCAGTCCAAGAGGAGTACACAACTGTGGATCCGAGAGAAACTGTAGTCCCACCTTGACTGGTGGCGGTGCCGTTCAGTCCTAAGCTATCGGAATTCGATTCGGTTAACGTAGCTGATTGAGACTGACTGGATATCTGAAGTCCACTATCAGATATAATCGCCTTCGAACCTTCCAACGAAGAGAACGACTGCGTAGTGATGTTACCAATTTGGGTACTTCCTATACTAGCCGATGAATCTTTAGAATGAGTCAACTGCTCACTTGTCTTTGCCCTACCAGACGACTCTAGAGTTTTCAACGGAATATGAACGTAATACACGGTTTCCACCGTTTCCTTGCCGTCCGTTCCAGTAGAAGTAGCTAGACTTGTCAGGAACGTGGACGTTTCCGACCCACTCCATGGGGACATGGTCGTACTGACAACATTCACGATCGGAGTCTCCACGTAGTATACAGTTTCCACCGTTTCCTTGCCATCCGTTCCGGTGGAAGT